CTTTATTATCAAAAATAAAAATTATTTTTGAGAACGTCTGTTTTTTGGGTTGGCAAGGGGATCAGCGGAAAGAGTTTTTTTTTTAAATAAAAAAATAATACTTTTGTATAAATTTATTTAATAATAAATAATATAATATCTTAAATTTAATTTATAAAAAAATAAAAATCTAAATATTTTAACAATTTTATTTTAACGACTTGTGGGTCCATAGCACAGTAGTTAGTGTTTCACAGGTCAGATCACAAGATACCAGTTCAATCCCATGTGAAGATGATTAAATAGAATTAATATAGTATCTGACACTATAACCATTTATGTGTTATTTTCTATAAGAAGCCATTTTACATGTTGATCCAGCAGGCGTTAGGATTGTAATCTTCCCATTAAGGAGTAGTGGTGAGAAGATCATCCGGAAGGTGTTATGATAATTATTTACGAAAGGTACCTCAGAATCACTCATACATTTAAATGTATAGATTGGGCTATACTTCATTTTAACCAATCCCAAATTACCATTTCCTTTACTGTCAACCATCAAATAAGAAAGCTTTGAAGAAAGCACTGAACGACACTAAAGTCTTATGTGATATAGCTTAACCCCAGATGGTTTATACTTATAAGAGTTGCATCCTGCTTGGCATTTATGCCTCTAGATTTGGCAGTCAACACCAACTGGTTCTGAACTGGAGTATTTATTAGGAGATAAAGGACTTTAGGAAGACTTGCGTAGCATGGTCCTGTATTGTCCTTAGGAGTTATGCCTCACTTGACCACAAGAGCCCCTAGATTTGGCAACTAGCACCAACCAGCGGATCAAAACTGGAGCATTTACTAGGGAGAACAAGCATCATGTTATCGGCTCCTCTGTCACAGGATGAAGGTGTGAAGAGGTGTGATATGACAAGTAACTTAGGAGATAGTTAGCAGTGTCAACTGTTCTTACACAAAAATTGGACCAATAGGTTGAATGGTTTAAAACTAGTGGTAGGATTTCCATCCCTTAAATAGATCCCCCTAAAAATATGAACCCACTTCAAGAGTGGCACATGTATCGCTAGGGTATTAAGAGTAGGATAGGCTAGCATTAAGCTGTAGTCTAGTATTACAGAAGATGTTTGATGTAATTATGATATTATATATATATCAATAAATAATGGCATCTAATACCTATTCTACTATAAAAAAAAAAAAAAAAACAGTTTTATTTTAACAATTTTAAAATTAAATTGTTAAATTTATATAAGTTATATTTTATAATATTAAAAAATTATCAATTATCTTTTGTTTTATTTAATATTTTAAATCTATTTTTTAAATTATTTTATATAATTTATATACAAGAAATTTTAATTTATTAATTTATTGATTTATTTATTATATTATAATTTTTTAAAAAAATTAATTATTGCAATTATTATATTATATAAAAATTCTTCTTATTGATTTTTTTTCTAATTTTTAAAAAAATATTTTGAAGAGTTTTATTATTTTTTTATTTCTTTAAAACCTTTATCTTTTTTTTACTTGTTTTTTTTTCTTTAAAATAAATTTCATATATTTTATAAGTTAATATAAGAAAAGTTTATTTATAAAATCAAATTCAAATATACTTTGCTAATATATAAACAATTTATACAGTATATTGAAAAAGTATACTTTTTTTTTTTGCAAAGGTTAAAGATTTTAGAAAAGATAATTGCTTGCTTTTTAAAACTCTTTATTATTTTTTTCAAGTCTCTTTCTACAGCATTTTTTAAATATATAAATTTTTTTGACAGATTTTGCTTACTGTAATTTGATTCTGAATTTATTATTGTTTTATATAAAAATTTTTTATTGTATTTTTTATATTGAATGTTATTTTAATATGTTTTGAACCAAAATAAATACATAATACTTCACATTAGCTAATTTTATTTAAGAATTCGAATTATCGCAAATGTCGTTTATAAATATCATTTTCTTATTTCGGTTTGTTATTTTGTCATGTATGGAAAAAAGTAAATGATGAGTACCTCACTTTTGTCACAAACCAGTATGAAAAGGTGAGAAAGTTGAAAATTCTGTCTATTTAATTTATTATATTAATTTATGCAAAATTTTCAAGGAGATAAACATAAAATAGATACAAAACACCTTCAAAAATCCATATTATTGATATTTAAAAATGAAATTCACCATTTTTGGAACGCCAATAATATACTAAATTCTAAGTACGAAATCTTTAGAAACAGCCGTTTGCTCAAAAAGAAATTAGTTTAAATCCATCAAAAATATGCATATGCAAATTATGAAAAAAAACAAATAAAATGTTATACATGTAATGTAATTAGTAAAATTAATCATCTAACCTTGCTTAAATTGGTATTAAAAAGAAAAGGTTGTCCGAAAATTCATGATCATAAAAATTATTAATCGGAAGCACTAGGCGGTGCAACGATTTTACTCTTGCCAAACCATTCTTTAGCATCACTTTTATCTTCCTCTAAAACTCCCCAAACCTTTGAAACTTCATTACCCATCTCCAATTCCAGGATACCACCTTTGGAAATATCGCCGTGCCTAAACCAGGTATTTTTCAAGTCCCATCCATTTAGTTTCGCTGATTGAATATAGATGTTCTGACTACTGAGGTTATTTGCCAGTATTGAAAAAGTTGTGGTCGGCGAAAGGTAAATTGTGGTGTTTGTAAAATGTGGTGAATTTATTAGGTATATGTCTTGTCCGCCACTAGCATAACAGAAAAGTTTTTAAATGTACCATATAAGATATGATGTAATGAGAATTAAACCGATTTAAGAAAAATAATAAATGTGGCTTAAATAATGAAACTCGAACTTAAATCTTACATTGGATATATTCCAATAGCATTGAAAATATACCAGCAACTAAAAACTCCAGACTCATCATGACCTATAGAATAGAAAGGAGGAATATTAGAAGGTCGAAATTGAAGTTGGAATAAATCAACGTCTAATTCACATACCAGGCAACCCACTTTTCCCAGTTCCGAACTTCTTTTTCATTATATCTCTGATAACTTGCACGCTTTTATATTGTTTTCCAATGTAATGATATAGATTAGGGTGAAATAAACTAGGGATATGTTGGATGCTAAAGTAATTACTGTTGTAATCTTTATTTGAGAATGTGATATTCAATCTTTTTTCGAATTCTCTTGGACCACGTGCAAACTTAATAAGCATGTTTACATCTGACAGATAAATTTTTACTTCAATAAATAAAACGCACTCATTCAAGTCGGCGAAAAAAATTTTAAAAACAACGCACCATGTGGGACATTTAAGCTGTATTCCCAAAATGAACCTTCATAAAAATCGGTATACGTTGATGTTCTAAAAACACTATACAACGACTTATCCGTCTCTTCCAAATGTATTGGCATTATGAATCCCTGCACACCTAAAGAATCAAATAAAATCATTAAGCTTTTTATAAGTTTTCTACGGCATTTGCAAAAGAAATTATTTACCATCAACAGTCGTATTAGAGTCCCATAAATATCGCCAATAGTTGGAACGTTGTTTAAATTTTTCGTAATCATCTTTCTTCTTTAAACCTTATGTAAAGCGTATAAATATTGTAATTTTAGAAAAAACAAAGCACCAAACAAATATGTTTTCATATTATAATGCAATATTTTGTTAATACCTTTTGCAACACATGCAATCGCAAAATCATTGGTTGTATACTCCATTGTCTTACTGCACATTCCTTGGTCCCTGTATCTATTCCAATTTTCGAAGGATTTCACTACGGGTAGGTATCCATATTCCTTATAAAACCTTAAGAGCATTCGTCCTTCATTTGATCCTCGTGACCATGGTTCAGCGAGAGCATTTTTTAACATCGCTTTGTAACCAAGGTTCCAGTCAATTTGACCTTTTCCAAGATTTTTAAGAAATAACTCGGACTTTAATGGGCAGGATACAATGAATATTAAACGTTATTATTGTCATGCAAAAATAAAATAAAAATAAGAATGCAATGCAAATTTTAGTACATACCAATACCATGTCCCCATTCGATCCGCCCCTCGCAATACTATTATACATTCCACTTCTGCCGTCCGGCATGAATCCTTCGTTCTCATAGATATCGATCAAAGATCTTGCAATATCCACCACTCTCTTTTGTTGAATTAACGTGTATAATGGAATCGTCGTTCTTAATTAATTTGAGGTGTTATTACTCGAAAAAGAAAAAACAAACCAAGACGAGGTAATCAATTAAAAAATTGATTTACCTGAATGCACTCCACTGAATATTATTTTTTTCAGTTCGAAATTTTATTATTCAAAAAAAAAAAATTCAAAAATAAAAAAGGAAAAGTACATACCAAAGTAAAGATATCGTCATAATAAGGTATAAGTTTTCCTCCGCTATCATAAGATCTCCATCTCGGATTTTCACCGGTTCTAAATATATTTAAATAATTTAACAAATACTCTAAAAGTGAACATGATCATCAAAAAAAAATAGAGATACCGATCACTCGGAAGAATCATGCTCCTATATAATCCACTGTAAAAAATTTTCTTTTTCTCATCGCTACCTCCATGGATCTCTATTTTTTCGAGCTCAATCTCCCATTTCTCTTCGGCCTCCTTTCTGACCTTTTCAAAATCCCATCCTTCCCCAACTTCCATTTCCGCATTTCTACATGCATTATTGGCTGATATGAAACTAATTCCAACTCTTGATAATATCACATT